GTAGAATAATATTTCATAATTAGTTCAATTCATCAAAACACCATTAAAGCCCTAACTAGCTTGAAAATGTTGAAAATTGTGAAGTTAAGGGCTTTTGGTGTTCAAACCTTTCCACAAACACCTAACATCGCAACTTGAACCTTCTTATATCCACAAACTGTAACATCCCAAAAATCAAGGTAAAATTTACATTTTTTAAATCCAACCAATAATCATAATTATTTACAAAACATAGTTCCCAAAAGTAATAATCACGAATCAGAGTATACCAAAATCAAGTATTATAAAATCAGTAGGATGTGCACGATCACACCTTTGCTTTCTCCCGATCATCTGAAGTACCTGAAACATAAAACTTAATGGTAAGCCAAAACTTAGTGAGTTCCCTAAAAGTACCACACACAACCAAAAAAAATATACACATTTCATGTCGGGTCCACAACCTCCCATTGGATTACCCTGTCCTATAACCTCCTGGTTGGTTTTCCATATACATCACATAATGGGCCCACAACCTCTCGGTTGGATTACCCTGGCCCACAACCTCTCGTTTGGTTTTCCACTCTGGCCTACAATCTCACAATTAGATTGCCTCGGGTTTTTTGGCTTACAACACAAAGCACTACAACCTCAACCCAACCATACTATGTCGACACATGCAACAGATAACCATATAACCAGTCAATAGACAAACATGCAGATCTACAGATCACTACCGCATAACAACATCCTATATACCAGGATACAAATCTAACAAATCACTACAACATAACAACATCCTATATACCAGGATATATAACCTAGTAGGCTGACATTGGTGCCTTCGAACCACAATTATAGTGATGAAAACTCACGTCACAATATGAAAAGATAGCAGGAAAGAACGTTGTTCCCAATGTTAACTCTATATGTCACCTATACACAGACAGTGACCCAAACTCAAATCATAGCTCAAAATACCCAAAATGACCCTAAGCCAAACTTGGTCAAACCCCAGGTCAAAGGTCAAAAGTCAGTAAGTCATAGGGTCAAAGGAAGGTCAACTTGGCTGAGTATACCCTCTGTACTCAACTGCTATGCTGGGCATACCCATAATCTATCCAAAATCACGTGTCTCAAACCTAGTACGCGTAACATACCCATTAGTATGCCCAACATACTGTGTGTGAATCCAAATCCTCATATTAAGAGCTTATTTTGTCAAGACCTATCATCCAAACTCAGATCTAGACCCATAACATCGTTATAAGTCATAAAGTTTCCATATTTATAACGTTTCATGGCTAGACAAGGTCCAAAAGCTAAAACCTTAATTTATTAATCCATTAAGACAACATAACCTTTTCATTGAAGGAAAAGAAGGACCAAGTTCCCATTTTTATCACTCTAGACACTTTAAAACGTCCAAAAGGACATCTCATTTGGTCTAGAGTATCTCATACCCAAATAGACAAAGCTTATGGGACTAAGAAGCAGAAAACTCCACATATAGCAAGATCTAATGAGATAATCAACAAGTTCAGAACTTTATACATTATGGAGGTTGCTTAAGGGGTGTAATACTCAAATATATGAAGCTTGGAGCTCATTCCTTGCTTTCCAATGGCTTCCTTTGTTCCACAATGGATACCAAACACCAAAATGAGCTCAAAACACCACAAATGGAGATTAAGGTTTTCTAGGGACGAAAAGAGGGATGCAGGCAGGTGAATGAATGGGTCTTAATGAGATAAGGATGATTTAATTGGGTTCAAAGCTAAAAAATTAGGGTTTAAGTTTTTTCCTATTACACCCATCATACACAAGTGTATGCTCAATGTACCCAAGAAAAAAGCGTTTCCTACTTAAGTGAACAAGGGACCGATTTTGCAAAAAAAATCATATATAAGGGTCAAAAATATAAATTACTTGGATGATGAATATTACACAAACACACAAAATCACCACAAACACATAGACCGCCACTTGTATAAAGCCTCATCACCCTCACCATACTGTGGAAATATCTTCACATCATCATGGTGGCCGCTCATCAGAAACTCCCTTAGCTAATCTCGTTCTAGCATGGGACAACTTTCTTCCAATCTTCTAATCTTCATATCTCCTTCTTCTATTTTCTATGATATTTATATCCACACGAATGTGGGGATATGTTCTACAACTCTGGCAAGTCGCTTCTCACTAAATTAATACAAGTCTTAATGTATTAAGTCACAAACTTGGCCCAAAAAGCATATAAACTCCCATTTTACTCTTTTGGCCAAAATGCATATTCTCATATATTTATTCTCTTAAACTCACTCATCTAATCTCATATAAGTGACTTAAGCTTATCTTGGGCAATGTCATGAAATGACCACTTCATAAACTCATAGAACTGTTATAAATGACCATTTTTTCCTTTTGGTCAATATTTGACTAAAAGTCAAATCTCTCTAAAGTTTGGGTTCTTACATGAAAGGTGATTTGCCTATTGTTGTTTCTTTTCATAGATTGTATGCGTTGGATAATCACCGTTTTGCTTCACCAATGTCTATTCTAGATAGATTGGGGTGGCTTCTTGATGTTTTAGATATCTTTTCTATTTCCTCGGCACACTCTTATCATGATAATGGGCTGATTCTTACAGGAGGAATGAAGACTAGATGAAATAATTGGGTTCCCTTTAACTCAATATTCCGATCTGGATGGTGAAGTAACAAAGTATATCTACAAGATGAAGAGACTTTCTTATAGAGGCATTATGGTGGAGTTGATTATGTACCTAATAGCTCTCGTGATATTCATACCACCGAGCCTCTTTTTATAGGTGGTGGTGAACTGATAGATTTATGGAGTCATATTGCTATTTGGTTGGGCCTTTGCCTTCCTAGTTAGATTTATGTACAATCTTTACTTTCCTGGCCTGATTCAGTCTCATTGAAGGGAGGGCAACAAAAGGATTTTGATGCATTTGTTTTGAATACTTTTTGGTGTCTTTGGAATTTTGATAATTCCTTGCCTTTTGGAATAGTGATCCCTAAGAAGTCTTTATTTTTTGATGATGTGATGGATATGATACCTTTTTAGATTTCAAATAGATGTAGCAAAGCTAATGTAGATTGGAGTGATTGGCTTCACAATTCTGCTTTAACTTCAATTTTGTTGTAATGAGTTTTTTTTCTAGCTTTTTGCTAGTTTTAATATAACTCCACCATTCTAAATAAGTAAATAAATAAGTAATAACGATATTTTTATATGTTGAAGGTATCCCTAAGGAGTGTGTTTGATGGTGAAGCCCCATCTGGATAAACAACAAGTACTTGACGACCCAAATCAAAGAGTAGTAATCGATGGCCCAAATTGAAGCTCAATCTTGGTAAACAACAAGTAAGCTTGGAAAATATAAAGTATAATCGATTATCATCCATGCACACCCCTTGAATTTATGTCAATTTGTATTCATAACAATATTATTAGATAATAATTGTAAGATACTTGAATAAATCAAAAGTTAAATGCATTAAAGACATTAAGTTTATATAAAATTTTGATTTTGACATTGTGATTTTATTTTCTTAATTAAGTCATCAAGTTTCTAATTTTGTTGCAAATTAAACCAATCGATTGTATTATTTTTGGTGTTTTGTATTTCTCACTTGCTGACTAGATAAAGATCTGATGTGACATTCACGATGATCATACTTAGCAAACATTTTAACTAAATTGAACACTTAGGTGTTGTTTGTTTTTTTTGGAAAAAACCTCTTCAAACCTCTTATTGCTGCGCGGCGCAGAACACACGCAACACTTTTTATCTCGCAACTGTTTGTTTTTTAGAAGTCTTCTGAGTCAAAAACCTCTGCGCGTGCTCTGTTTGGCGCATCACTTGTACTGCCTCTTCCAACCTCTTCCAATCTCTTCTTCTTTTTTTATTGCTGAAATTTTGATTATATGTTATTAAAGTTTTATTTCACATTTTTTTTCGTTTTTTTTTCGTTTATTCTTATTGAAGTTATTTTTCATTTTTTTATATTCAATAATGATAATTTCTTGATGAAATATCATTATTTTTTACTAAAATATCTTTATTTTTTGTTGAAATATCATTCATTTTTACTGAATATCATTAATTTTTACCGAAATGTTATACATTATTAAAGTTTACGTATTAAAAAACTATTTTTGGTTTATAAAATTAGTTTATTTTAATTTTTTAATATCTGCAGCAGTATGCAAATGTTAAAAAAACAAACACGCTTCTTATTATAGTCTGTAGCCGTTTGGTTCACCTATTCTACTGCAGAGCGTTGCAGAGGTGATCCGCAGACTTCTTGAATTTCTGCTTCAGAAAATCAAACAACACCTTACTTTGATATGTACTAACTTTTCCTTATTTCGACTTTTTTTTTTTCTCTTAGAACATCACAATTTTGTACATGACTTCCCAAGGTCGGTCAAGTGTTGTAAGCAAGACAATGAATGTTTCCTTTAAAAGATGTTACTGTGGACAACACTCCTTGCTTTGCTTACACTACTCTGAACCACTTGAGCAACATTGGAAAGTCATTGCTCAAGTCAAAATCACGATGTTGTGAGAAATAAAAGGAAGACAATATAAGAGAAAGTAAATACAGATTTACATATGTAAATGTTCGATTCCACAAAAAAATTTGTAAACTACGATCATATGTCACATTAGCTTTTTAGCAAGTTAGCAAGCGAGAAAAATGAATGAATTGGATTAGATTGGAACGGTCAACATGTGGATGTGTTAATTTCAGTGGACCTTATGCTTGCATATAAAAATAAATATTAGTTTTAATTCTGGAAATAGGAAATATTTTACATGTAACCAAAACTACAATAAGGTTATGAGTAATACAAAAAAAAAAAAAATCAAATTACAATGAAATTATAATTATAATGTTTAATAATAACTACGCACACTACCTCTAATACTCTATATATTCACCGATCCTGAAGGCCATTTTCTCAACGACTACATTCCAACTCACCAAATGGCTTCGAACACCGTCATCATCCTCTCTTTCCTCGTAGCTCTCGTTTTCTCCTGCAACCTCCAAACCACCACGGCCCGCCGCCTCTTAAACATCCCAGGCCTCCCTGGTTCCCCATCATTACCACAAGTCCTTCCTCTTAAGGCGTTCCAAGATCATTTCCCAACTCCGTTCTTCTCGTTGGCATCACAAGCAACGCCTCCTCCCAGCCGTTCTTCCCTCTTATCATCGGCAACCCCTCCACCCCCTCGTTCTACGTTTTTCCAATCGGCAATTCCTCCACCCCACAGCTATTCCATATTGTCATCTGTAACCCCTCCGCCCAGTCGTTCTTCTCTCTTCCTATCGGCAACTCCTCCACCCCGCCGCTATTCCATTTTCTCATCAGCAACACCACCACCCAGCCGTTCTTCCATCTTCTTATCAGCAAACCCACCACCCAACCGTTATTCCCTCTTCACCTTAGCAACTCCTCCACCCAGCCATGCGTCTCTCTATCGGTATGCAACCCCTCCACCCAACCGTTCCTCCCTCTTCTCTTCGGCCTAGTTAATCCCACCTTTCACAAGAACCATGGTCAACAGAACAATCCATCCATGAAGCTATATATGCATGCTACATTTTAAGATTAGTCTATATATCATCGATCTGTTACATTCATATCTACTGTTAACTAGTATATGTTAAAGTTCTCTGTTGAATGTTATGCCCGGCTGTCTAATTTCATCCGTGATACTTCTGTCATCATTATGTATTGTATTTTTCGGAGAAAAAAAATCAGTGAAATGTATTTTTTTAGTTATAAATATTGTATTTTGAACTATGTATCAGCAGCGACTACAGAACATTCTCCCTCAATTCCTAACTACGTCCTTTCTTTATATAGCTATACGTGTTCCAATTATATAAGTTGAGCAAAATCGAAAACAAAAACCAACAAAAACTGAAATCGAACCGAAACCATCGGTCTTGAGGTTCAATTTTTTAAAATCTAAAAATTTGGTTTGCGTGGCAGAAACCAACCCATTGAAACCAAACCGACTGATTGGTTTTGAAACCGAATACGAACCGACCCTAATCGATGAAACCGATCCAGAATAGCTATTATAAATTATTAAGTATATTTTTATTAAATGTTAAATAGTTTATTAAATAAGACCGCAAGGAGTGGCAGGGATCCTTCATTTTTGGTGGGTCATACTCTTTTTTCCCTCACTCTCCTTTCCCTCACCTAAAAGCCAAAGAGTGGGAGGGAAGCCATTCTCTCACTTTTTTTTTTTATTTTTTTATTTTAAATAAAATTAATTTTTTTATTTATAAATTTTAAATTAGTATCAAACATAAATATTCATTAAAAATAAAAAGCATTTCATTAAGTAAAATAAAAATTACATTAACCCTAATATTTAAATAAGAAGAAAAAAACCGCAAAAAATAAACCTACAACATAGTAAAAATTATTAATTAATATTCTAAATATATTTAAACTTAGATACATCACTCGGAATCATCGTCTTCGTCCTCGCCTTGATCATCTGCATCATTCTCCCTAGCATCACTCTCGTCGTCGGAATCTTCACTCTCGACGAAAATATCAGAATCATTATCTGATTCGTTAAACAAATCATCATCGTAAGATAACTCTTGCGAGGGCTGAATATGGGCCCTATAAATGTGCTCCACCAAATCAGCACGAAGGGCCTGATGAAGGTCGCGATTGTGTACTTATCTTATATTCACCCTATACTCTTGTGTACCAACGGCTACTCCTTCGACATTTGGCAAAACTTCATTTTCGTTGTATCGGCATATCGCTCTTCCTTCGTCTTCAAGAATCATATTATGCAATATGATACATGCATACATTACGTGTCCTAACCTTTTCACCTCATATGACCTTGCCCCGACCGTTAGTACTTGCCAACGTCTCTGAAGTACACCAAATGCTCGCTCCACATCCTTCCTAGCTAACTCTTGCGCCTCTTTAAACTTTTTCCTTTTCGGGTCCTTAGGACATGTAAACGATTTCACAAAAACAGACAAGGGAGGATATATACCATCAGTAAGATAGTATCCACGCTTATATGCTACCCCATTTGCTTGAAAAGGTACATCGTGTGACTTTTCAAGGTAGAAATCGTTGAATACAGGCGACTGGTCTAGCACGTTGATGTCATTGTTTGCACCAGCTGGACCAAAGAATGCATGCCATATCCAAAGATCATGTAATGCGATAGACTCTAGAATGATCGTCGGCTCTTTGTGGTCGCCTCTCATGTACTGACCACGCCATGCGTTGGGGCATAATGACCAACTCCAATGCATGCAATCGATACTACCTAGCATCCCAGGGAATCCATGTTTGCCTTCATGCACCATATACAATTGGTGGATATCGTTGATAGTTGGTTTGCGCAAATATCGTTGCCCGTAAACTAAACAGACCGCTTTGCAGAACTTGTACACAGAGTCCCTCATGGTACGCTCTGACATTCTAAAATACTCGTCCCAATTTGTCTGCGCTCATGCCGTATGCTAGCTGACAAATTGAAGCCGTGCATTTTTGAATAGGAGAGAAACCTTTTTTCCCCTTGCATCCATTTTCCATTGGAAATATGGAAAACGGCCTTCCATATCGCCAACAATACGTAAAAATAGTTCCTTCCTCATCCGAAACCGACATCGAAACTTTACAGCGTAGACGGCGTCATCTGCAAAATAATCTTCTATAAGACGATCGTGTCCGGCTTCATGATTTCTACGTAACGACGTCTTTCTTAGGTTAGGTCGTGCATGTGATGTTTCACCAAGTCAGTTTTGATAGTATGCAACCATTTTTGCTATGACGGAACCGATAAACTTAGTCTCATCTACTGCCGTCGAATCGGATGATGAAGATGATGACATTTTGAGTAATATTTTTTAGAGAGAAATATAGATTATGGTTTAAAAAATGATAAAATGTTTGAGTATTTATAGATTAAGAAAATGGAAGGAAAAAAGAATATATATATATATATATATATATATATATATATATATATATATATATATATATGTTAACAGCTATATAGCCGTTTGAGTATAAAAAAGAAAAAAAAGAAAAAAAATGCATTGGCCAATGGTTGGAAGAGAGAGAGAGCGGGACTCTCTCCCCCCGGATGCTTCCCACGGTTCCTTTCCCGCACCCACGGTGTGGTATGCACAGGTACGGGATCGGTTCCCTCACCTTTCCCTCACCCCACTCCGTCCGACCTAATAGTTGTGATAATCATGTATTATATAAGTTAATCTAAAAAAAAGTTAGATATAAAAGTCTAAATATTTAAGGACTTTAAATTTATAAGAAAATAAGCAAAATAATGAATTATTAAAATTTAAAATGTTTTTTATATATTTTAAAATTAAACAAATAATTTAAATAAATAAATAAAAGAAATTAATGAGCTTTAATTTGAGAATTTTGAAATTAAAGTGTAAGTTTATTAATGAAATTGATATCTATTTATTACTACATTTATTATAATTATTATATTAAAATATTATGTGAAATTTAATAAAATAAAAAACTCATAAAATGACATGTGAAAAAAATTAATTCAAAATAACCAAAAAATAACATTTAACAAATTGAATGAGAATATGACATCTGGCAAAAAAAAAAAACTCTTCATTTATTAGATATGATATAATTTGAAAGTAGTTGCAACACACAAAAGTTACTGTCCATTTTGATTTTTTATCGAAACCAAAAATTGCAAGCACCAGTAAAAACATTTCAAGCAATGGAAAATAATAATACTCCTAAATCAAGGCATATATATATATATATATATATATATATATATATATATATATATATATATTACCTTCAAGAAAGTTGGATCTAATTGCAAAGTAGTTCTGTTTTTGGTTCCATATATATATATATATATATATATATATATATATATATATATATATATATATATATATAAAATTTTATAAGTTGTGATTTTCGTCCCTTATTATAGTTATGTTTTTGGTTCCATACATAATTTCTTTTTATAGTTTTTGTCTTTATTAATTGCAAAGTAGTTCTTTGCCTCAATGTCCAGTGTTATTTCGGGTAAACTCCAGATGCATGTTTGGCTCTATCACCTAAAGGTCTTAGTCTAATAAGCATCCGGGAATCCGCCCTGCATAAGATAAACAAATGCTAGGTCAGATAGCCAAACCAAGCATAGGACCCCAATATAACTCTCCAATGCCTAAGTTAGATTACAATATTTAGTGTTGCCTTAATGAGATATATAATTTTTTTTGTCTTACCTTGCCCTCCTCTTGGACATCGTATCTTTAGGGTATTTATAAGCCGCTCGTTGCTAGAATAGTTTATAGTTTTGTCCGGTCCCTCATCCTTTATCCGGTGTATAGGTAGCCACATCTCTTGTCCCTTCCTTGTTATTTTATTGTTCCATACCATAATTTTTTACATGTTTCCTGGGATATGGTTTCGATACTTGTTTACGATGTATTTGAATTTAGATTCGTTCGTGACAGGACGTTGTGTTTTTATGGTCAACTTTGTAAGTACTGGGCTCGTAATGGATTTTCTTGGACTATCGGCCAGGTACACCATTAAACCCTTAGTCTGAATGGTGAAATAATATTGCCAAAATATTTTTGCTATTCAGACTTGAAGATCCGACTTGCGTACGAGAACATCTGTCGCATGGGACACATTAAATGCCTATGTTGTCACAAGTCATTTCCATTACTTTGATTAGATTACCCTTAATAAATGCTTTAACCAGTATCTCTTGTTATTTATCAGAGAAGCTTGGTTTGTTTATAAACTTCTTTATCTTATGTCCTCCTTTTGACCCTCATATCACCACATCTATGAGTAATGAGATGTTGATAGTTGTGTCCGAAATGGACTATTGCATGCTTGATAGATACACACACAAATATCACTTGTCGTCCGCACTTGGTTTCCAGGTTTCATCTTCATCGTCATCTGTTCTTGATGCCCTACCTGGTAAGATTGGGTTTTTTCTCTTGGTCATCTTGTTTGTGGTTTAAGGTTACCCACGTCTCGCTTCTTTTTGGAAGTTCTTTGTTTTTATAAGGTTTATCTCATTCAACTATGCCCTAACGTAGTGTCGAAGGTGCTTACTTTTGAAGTTTTTTGTGTTTCTCATGAAATACCACTTGACATCACTTTATTTCGCTACTTTTACCATTTGAAGAAGTATGATGATTGGTATTCTTTTAGTAGTCATCATTTTCCCCTCCCTCCTGATTTATCTCGCTCCAATTATAACCGAAAAAGTAGTTTTTGTTGGCTAGATATGCATAACTTATGTCTTCCTTTTGTTCCCTGTTATATCCAACTTGGTGATGATTCAATATCTTTGTCAAATGATCTACTTTCATTCGTGCCCTTATTTTCTCATTTCTATGTAAAAAGATATTTTTTGCCAGAAGTTGTACTTGCTTTGTGTCGTATGAGCCCCTTTAGGAAAGCTCGATGTCAACTACCAGTGTTATATATTTGTCGTACA